TCGATGGAAGCTCTGTCAAGGCCGCGAGTCGCTCCTACTTCAACTCGACAGAAACTGAGCTTTGCCGAACCATAGTTACTCGTCTGCTAAACCGACATATAAGTCCCGACGCAATCAGCATTCTTTCCTTCTACAAGGAACAGATGCGGAGATTAACTGACTTTGCTCACGACAATCACATTGAACTGGCCACCGTCGATTCGATCCAAGGCAGAGAAAAGGAAATCGTCATTTTTCTGACCACACGCACCAACTTCCAGCCTTCCTCAGGCGACTTCTTGAATGACCAAAACCGCATGAAAGTGGAATTAATCCGTTGCAGGCAGGGCCTGTTCGTGCTGGGCCACGTAACCTCTTTACGCCGTACCAGCTTCTGAAACATGGTGCTCGCTTAGGCCGAGGAACGTCATGCTGTCATTCCTGCATCCCAACTCGATATATATCTGCCTCCGGAATAACGGTGGGCCTTTTTGCATTCATTTCTACTTTTTTCGTTACTGTAACTTTCCCCCTCCCCCCCCTCCCCCCCCCCCCACAATGGTCGGTCGCCTCATCGTGGCGTGGGGGTGACACTGGGTGTCGAACTGCGATGCACAGCCGAGTGTATACTCTGGTAGGGCCTCCCAAGCTGTGAAGGAGTTCGACGTTTCCGGTTTCGGCCGGATGCCTAGCTAAGAACTGGCCGCGCCAGATTCTCCGCCGTCTGGCTTCTTCTGGTCGCTAGGCGGTCCCTCCCCGCTCCAAGCCCGGGGTCAGCGATCACCCCGTGGAAATCAAGAGTAGGCCTAGTAAGCCACCTCTTGTAGGGGAACAAATTTTATTACTCAGACAGCAAGAAGATTTAGAAAAAACCCTGTACATCGGATCCCGCCTACGGCGCCGGGTGGTAGCAAGAACGATGTCAGGGTACTCAGGGCGCCTTTCGGATTGGACAAAAACGACACGTCTGCCCGGACGACACGCCATGGAGACTGCCTCATGCTCTGCACTTACAACGCCAGGACAGTCTCCACAAACGCCGACCTCCACGCTCTTCTCGACGCTGCAGAGCACATCAACTACCACATCATTGCTCTGCAGGAAACGAAGTCCAGGAAGAAGGACGTGCGACAGATGAGTGATGGGACCCTCATCATTCGTGGTGAAAAGGTTCCATCACGAAACGTGGGAGGCGTCGGCTTTGTCGTCCACCCATCTATCGTCCATCTTGTCGATTCGCACGAGATCCTATCACCTCGACTAGGCATCCTACGACTACGACCTCCACATCAGAAGACCATCAGCATCATCAACTGCTATTCTCCAACATCAGCAGCTGACGAATCAGAACTAGATGCTTTCTACGAAGATGTGGAGGAGGTCGTCCGCAACGAGAAGTCCTTTTACAAGTTTGTTGTGGGCGACTTCAACGCGAAAATCGGAATGCCACTGGAAAGGGAATATAGGATCGGGAAGTTTGGATATGGGCTCCGGAACGAAAACGGCAACCGTCTTGTTGGGCTTCTCTCCGCCGCACGACTTTTCCATGGAAATTCCATCTTTATGAAGAAGGAACATCGCCGGTGGACATGGGAATCGCCCAACGGAACGACCCACGCGGAGATCGACCACATTCTCACCAACCGAAGGTGGAGCTTACTCGATGTCTCTGTAGTTCCATCCTTCTGTAGTGGCTCCGATCACCGCCTCCTTCGAGCGAAGATACGACTCAGCCGAAGGCTAGAAAAGAAAGTCTGTCATAGTGCCGCGAGAAGGAAGGAAGTCGTTTATGACGCTAACAGGCTGGAAGAGCTCATATCAAGTTGTGACTGGCCCATCGAGGAGGACCCAACGTACGACTACGACCGGCTTCTGAAAGGATTGCGAGCCTGCGGAGAATGCGCCTCAGTGACTTCTGAGAAGAACTTGGACCGCATCTCGAAGACCACCAAGGAATTGCTCGAAAGAAGAAGATCATTGAGGCAGGATCCGAATGCAACTCATCTCGAGCGACTGATTGCCAACACCAGTTGCAGAACAGCTTTGCAAGAGGATCTCAGGAAGTACAGGCAAGCCAAGATACTGGAAGCAGCAGAAAGAAGACGAAGTCTCAAGAAGTGCCGAAGGGACCTCTGCGAATATCACGTACCGCTGGCTGCACTACTGAACGAAGACGGGACTCCGACTTCTTCCCGATACAAGATGGAATCTATCGCGAAGAACTTCTACACCAACCTCTTCCGCTCATCAACACCCGTGCAGATGCCCGTTGTTCCCACTGGAGAAGTACCACCACGAATTCTACCTGCTGAAGTGCGTATCGCGATACAGACCATGAAGACGTCCACGGCTCCAGGACCAGATCATCTTTCCGTCGAACTTCTGCGAGCCGGAGGACACCGTCTACACGAGATTCTAGCGTCGCATTTGACATCTTACCTTCAGAAGGAGAAGATTCCCGACCAGTGGAGAACGTCAAGAACCGTCCTTCTCTTCAAGAAGGGTGAACGGGAGGATCTTCGGAACTATCGTCCAATATGCTTGCTGAGTGTGCTGTACAAGCTTTTCACGAAAATTATCCTCGCTCGCATATCAAGGACACTGGATGAAGCCCAACCCCAAGAACAAGCTGGATTTCGCAAAGGATTCAGCTGCATGGACCACATCCAGACCGTTTCGAGGGTCATAGAAGTCTGCCGGGAGTACCGACTGCCTCTCGTCCTAACCTTTGTCGACTACGAGAAAGCCTTTGACAGCGTCGAAACCAACGCCATCCTGTCTGCGCTAGTCGATCAAGGAGTGGACCCAGCTTACGTGAGGACACTAGCCGACTGCTACAAGGACTGTACAACGACGATGCAGCTATTCCATCGCCCCCTGACCATACCAATCGGGAAGGGGGTCCGACAAGGCGACACAATCTCGCCGAAGCTGTTCACCGCGGCCTTGCAGTGGGTGATGAAGTCACTGGACTGGGACGAGAGAGGCATACGAGTTGATGGGAGATTCCTGTCCAACCTTCGTTTTGCGGACGACATCGTTCTCTTCTCGAGCAGTATCACCGAAGCAGAGACGATGCTGAAGGAACTAAACGAAGTAGGGAAGAAGATCGGACTGCGAATAAATCGGAAGAAGACTCAGTTCATGAAGAACGCCCTTTGCGAAGATGCAGAAATGGAATTGGAAGGCACCCCGATTATGGAGACGTCTTCTTACGTGTATCTCGGACGTTCGATGAACATGGAGAACGACTTGAGGGAAGAACTCAACAGGAGAAGAAGAGCAGCCTGGGCCGCCTTCGGGCCCCTGAAGGAAGCCACCGACCAACTGACGGACCCGGAGCTTCGTGCCCACCTGTTCGACTCAACCGTTCTCCCGGCGCTCTGTTACGCAGCTGAGACTTGGGCCGACACTGTAGCCACGTCGAAAGCTCTACGGACCACCCACAGAGCGCTCGAGCGCAGTCTTCTGAAGATGACCCGACGCAAGCAACATCTAGTCGGACTTCGCAGCACGGATATGAGAAGAATGTCCCGTCTTCGTGACCCAGCGGAATACGTCGCGAAAGCCAAACACCGATGGGCCGGTCACATAATGAGAAGAACAGACGACAGATGGACACTAAGAACATCGGAGTGGATTCCTCGCGAAGCCAAACGTCCCCGAGGAAGACCTCCAACGAGATGGGCAGACGTGTTCGTGGAACGGATGGACCAGCTGAGAAATCAGCTGGATACGATTTTTGCACCTGGAACTCGTGGACGCAGCCACCGACGTCAGCCAAGAAGATCGTGGATGTCAGAAGCGAGGGACAGGGAAAAATGAAAACTTCTGAGCTGGGGCCCGCACGTCACGTGAAGCCGGGCTATCTAAGTATCTAAGTAAGTAAGTAACTTTCCCTAACCTGAAGTCCGAGGACGGACTTATTGGTAAATAGGGGAGGTGTAAGCAATGGTAGCGGCGTGAGCCTGTAGGATTCTGTAGGAATGTAATCATCAGAAGAAATGCAAAAAGTCATGATTCGTCTGTTCAGGGCGTGATCGAGCCTGCGAAGCCGAAGGAGTCGAGCTAGCGACCAGGACGCCGACTGGCTGCCCGAGCTACCCCTCCGCTGTTACAGGCTGATGCCTGCCCGACCAGTGAATCAGTGATCCATGTTGTTGTATTTGATCGCCTTAACGCATTGCTTGATTCCTATTTTATGTCATGACAGATAAACTATTAGTACAGCTAGTGTTCGGGTATCTACCAGTCTGAGAGTCAAATCTGCTTTCGTCATCTGCAAAGCTCTTCTTTGTGCGGAGTTATGAGAATTTTTGAGACGAAAATCCAGGTATTTCTAAGGTTAGAAAAGGTGTCGTCTTTCCGGCTCTCAAAAGCGGTTATGACTAGCATTTATTTCTCAAACCAAATGTGTTAACTGTATTAAGCGCTTTGACAGTGGCCCATCTGAGCTCACGGACCACAGCTTCAAATAACTTCATTGTAGCTGCGCGTTCAAATTTTTGCTGCAAAAAATTTAACTCTCCTACCAGAATCGCTTTGCAGATATCGAAAGCAGTTTCGGAATCAGCATTCCATGCTCTATAAGGCAGTATATATACATTACATATGGGAACGCCACTTTGACCAAGAATCACTTCCGTTGTGAGATGCAATCGCTGACTACTGTCTCACTTTGAAGGTGTATGAAAATGGCTTTATGAGCACATGGCGCATAAACCTAATGCATTGGCCACCGTATGTTAGTTGCTGTGATGTTGGAATATTGCTGTCTTCGGCGAACCAGGTGTAAGGCGCAACAAGCATATTTTTCATAATGCTCGTTGAGAGAGCACTCTGCATCAGATTCATCACCATTATGTTGCTTTTATGCGGCTAATCTAGTCTCCATCAACTTGACGCATAGAAATTTTCACACAAACTACTTTGATATTCACGTTCTACCGCAAACCTACACGTCACTTTATACCGCACAATTGATCACTTCCTAGCGCAAGCGTTATTTTCTGTAAACTTACGGTAAGGCCTTGCTCTCATTGATTGCAAATGCAACACCTCCGATATTGAACACTATTCGTTCGGTCTTGTGATAGATGTCCCCTTCCATAGAGGTCCCATTCTCTGCGAGAATATTGAGAATGCCTCTAGCTCTTAATAGAGTAGGATATGATATCTTTGCAACGATGTTGCGCATAAAAAGTACTTTTTCGAAGGTGAAGATGACGCAGACGAGGGACCCATTTCAGCTTCGCAGATTTTGTCATACTTGCGTACATCATTAGTGCGAAGACCACTGTCTTGCTCACTCCTCTGCAGTAAAATTACTGTTACGGCCAAAACCACTTTGAACTCTAAACGACGCCCACCAAAAGAATGGACTTCCTTTCAACAACTATCATGCTTTTCCCTATGAGGACATTCTGAGTTGTTCTCTCCTCTTCAAAACCATCGTCATCCATCGTCTTTATGTTGACGACAGCTGGACGAACCTCAAAACACAATTCTGAAGTCGTCCTTAGCGAAAAAAATCATAAGAGAACGCATACTTGGATCAACGTGTCTAGCTCGGCCTTTCTTTCTTCTACGGTCAGTCCACTTGAATGTAAGACCACGTTCGTTGTGATAAGAATTTCATCCGTGTCTGGATCAACGCGTACACTTTGGAATGAACGAATCTAGAAATAGTATTGTTGCGCTGTCGAGAACAGGTTGCTTTCTGCAACTTACAAAAAGGGGAGTGACGAGATTGCACAACTGAGGAATTTGTAATCGGGAAATGGATCGTGAGGCAGAACGACGACGAGCACGCGTGTCGCTGTAATCAGCAAGTATGAGAGTAGTTTGAAGTCTCCAGATTGTGGTAGCTGACTCACGGTCGTGGCGAGTGCGAAAGAGCAGTAGAAAAGCCAGCCAATGCTCCATGACCATCTTTTTGTGAATCTAGCCTTAGCTGAGCTGCCGTATGTTCACTTTGTCCCACAACAACTCCAGCATCTTCCTTGGCTTGAAGACCGATGTTATCGTAATTGCCCACTGCCACAGGTCCATTGACTAGTCCGGCTGCAGCCGCACGTTCGCTTGGAATGCCTTCAGCTTGAAGTGTTGGTTTCTCACTATCTGCTGTTATCTCACGCTCAATTCTTGGAATCTCAGGGCTTTCCTTTCGGCTCTTCTTTTTCCCACGAGCTGGTTTTTTCTTCCGGAAAAGGGTGCGCGAGGACCTTTCCTTTTTCGACGATTTCGACGACTTAAATGTCTGAGATAAAGCATGACAACGAAATGGGGATCAATTACCTTTTTCGATTTTTTCTTTCCGTGTGGCTTGTACTTTCTGCAAAAAATAGTATTAAAATGTGGGAAACAGCTGGAATAAGCATGAGACGATAGTTTTTTTATTATTTTGGAAGAGACACACCGCTAATTCAAATTTCTAGCGGCACATTTAGAACCTGGCGGAAGTATTACTGACACGTTTGTGATAATCAGCCACCATTGACTCTCACATTTGATTTTTGTGACACCACTGAGTTCCGTTAAGCTTAATTTATTGCTCTAGCGTTCGCTATGGTTTTCAACTTTCCTTGCTTCAGATTAGTCAAAATGAAGCGAAAATATGAAGTACGAACCGACTCACTTTAGCTGAGTGAAAAAGCATGCTTACTTCTTTGAAGAAGATGAGGATTCGTGAAAGCCTTCCGCGATTTTTGATGAGGAAATTCTGGCTTTTCTTTTGGAAGCAGCCTAAATTATTGAAGTAAATCGGATTTTCTAGAAACTTCTGCCAAAAATAGGATGGAATTAGACTGACCACATCCGTTGTTGCAGATCCAGATGTAGTCAGCGTTGCTGATTGACCTCCACGGGTTTTCATCGAACCAGAAGTGTGTGTCGTAATGCCTGTGCCATCTTCCGTGACAGAATACGATGTTCCCTCGCTTCCGCGCGACGATCCAGTTGTCACACCACTTTCCATAGTAGTTGTAGCAGTCCCTGTAGCTGCCGAAGTTGCCCTGTCCGATGTGTACTCTGTGCCCGTGTCAGCAATAGCTGTGGAAGCGTCGTTGCTTCTCATGGCTGTTGCAGTTGAGAGCTTTCCGCTCCCCCTAAATAAGGATGTCGTTGTTAAGTAATAGTGCTGAGTGACAAGTAACAAAGGCACTTACTCTCTTTCTCCACTGCCCGCTCTGGCGACATCGATACTGGAAAAGCAAAAATTGTAAGCTCTTAAAAGTGTGACCACTTCTCGTATACCCTGATAGCCTTGACGCGGAATTTCCGAACAATGTCCCTCTTGGTCTCATTCTTCTGATTTGGACATTCTCTGGCATCGGCTCCTGATCAGACTGAATGGGCGACGTCTGTTAAAAGGTGTGATACTTCTATGGCTGGTAAGATATGTGCTCTAACTATGGGGCACCTAGGGGTGCCTTGATACCGCGCCGGCAGCCGCCGCTGGCCCCCTTTGAACACTACTCCATTGTCCGGATCCCAATATCGAGACTACAAATCATGCTCAAACTTGGTTTATTGGGATTATTCGTCATGCTTGTGACAAATAGCATGATCTTTAACTTTTTGGAAAGACCTTGGAATACTGGGATAGTGCGCAAAAGCGGCTACAGGCGGCTAGCGGCGGTAGCCGGCGCAGTATGAAGGCACCCTAAGAAATGAAATTTGCTGCTTATAGAGCCGGGCATACTTACTTATTCTTGTTTCTCAGGGCTGCATGCAACGTCCCCGCGGGGGACTGTACTGACTCATCTAACCCAACAGTGCTAACAAGGGAATGGTCAGAAGTCGAAGTGGCCAATCCAAACAAGTTATATACCATTCGATGCAGAATAGAACGCTGATTTCAAATCTGCCTTCCTTATCTGCAGAGCGCCTTTGTAGGCGAAGTTATGAGCAGCTTTACTGCGAAAAAACCGTATACAAAAATTGCGAAATTAGGCACATTATTGCTGTTTCAGCTCACATCTAGGTACGGGTCATATAAACTGACCTAGTTGCATGTTTTGATCCAACACTAAGCCGAGAATGGCTTTGTACGGCCAAGTTTGCATTTTACGTGCACAATTTCTTAGCAAAATGATGGCCTTCAACGGCTTTTAATTTCGTCCACAAAAGCGCTCTGCAGATAAGGAAGACAGATTTAGAGTCAGCATTTTATACTGCATTCAATGGTATGCAGCTTGTATGGATTGGCCACTTCGACTTCTGACCATTTCCTTGTAAGCATGTTGCTGATAAGAACAAGTGATGTATTGGAACCATGAAAATTTGCGATGGACCACAAAAAGTTAATCGCAAGTTTGGATTTATAAAAAAATGCGATTCTGTTTTCATCAGAAACGTGCTTGGCGCTTTTCGGTTGGATTATCGGTGAGACTTCGGCACGTTATCGTTAACTTTGAAGAAGAAAATGACTTTGAAAAAGATCTTTGCGCGCCGGGGATCATCAGAGGATCATATGAAAAAAACTGGAATATGCGACTTGTACAACTTCTGGCTCCCGTTCAATATGTTCATAGTGGGAATACTTACGGATAGGTAGACAGCGTGAAATCCAAATATCTGGGGCTTTAAGATATGAAGCCTTCTTTTAAGCTGCGATCCCCTCACAGCGTGGATGTTAATACATGCGGTCCCCTACTCAGATGATCGTCAGACAGGCGGTCCTCAAACTCGCGCTTTTTTGTAGGCGGTCAGAATAATTTTGAGGCATGGTCAAACCTTCAGCGGGCGGTACTTCCTTCACTGTCGCATATTCTGCCAGCGGGAAGCAATACAGAGTTTTTTACGGGCGCTCGTCAAATAGATTCTTTCAGCGAGCGCTCGGACTCTTTTTACACAATTTTGGGCGTACGCCGTGCAAAGGTAAGACTCTATATGGCAAAGGCGTCATCGATGGTTTGTTTACCCGTGATTTTTGCGGTCCGCTTGCAGATTTTCAAAAGAATGTTGGACGGTCCACGGATCTCCCTCATAGAGGGATCACAGCCGGTTAGTCGCGAGGCTACGTGGGGCCTCCCCAGGTGGCGGATAGGGGGATAATCGGTGACCAAAAGCGACCCCTCGCCTGCTCTGATAAGCAAGCGGAGCCGGGGGACGGACTCCCTGCCTCCACTAAATCTTGCACTCAAATTTTCCGGGTAGGTGTGTGGGGAGGCGAGTTCGGAGTCGCCTCCAACAAATAAGCTCCGATCGTCCCTCGCGGGGGTTTTGAGCTCAACAAACTATCCCTGCGAGTAAAATCTTGTTCGACACAGTGATAATATGGAAAGCTCCTTTAATTTTGGAAGAGCCACTGGTAAGGCAGCGCCAGTGGGGACAAGGTTTGAAAGGCGATCTAGGCTGCCGAAAACGAGACGGACTATGATGACGATCTGTACTTACAACGCGAGGACGCTGGCATCGGACGCATCTATCGAAGACCTCATGATGCAAGCAAGGAAGATCAAGTACGACGTCATCGGACTGACCGAGACAAGGAGGCACCACCCGCTGAACGCCACATTTGAGACTGGAAAAGAACTGTTCCTAGGAACATGCGACAGTCGAGGAGTAGGTGGAGTGGGAGTCCTTGTCAACACGAGTTTGGCCATGAACATCGATTCGTTCGAACAACTTACAACTCGAATCGGACATTTGCGAATATCAAGATGTGGATCAATCCCTGCCTTGACCGTCTTCACTGCGTACGCCCCAACATCCAGCTACGACGAGGACGAACGCGAGGAATTCTATATGGACTTGGAGAAGTTCTACAGAGAAGATCATTACTTCTACAAGATCATCGTCGGTGAGTCTAACGCGAAGATCGGAATTAGAAGGTCGCATGAGGAACTTCACATCGGAACCCATGGTTTACAGTGGAACGAACAAGTAGAGAGACTGTCCGAGTTTATCATGACGACGAGGACTATCCATGGAAACTCACAGTTCCAAAAGCCCTCTTCCCAACGCTGGACCTGGGAATGGCCCGGTGGAGAGTACCATAACGAGATTGACAACAACATCGTCAACAGAAGGTACTGCCTGACGGACGTTGCTGTTGTTCCGAAGTTCTACACGGGATCAGATCATCCTCTCCTACGCGCCAAATTCTACTTTCCGCGAAATGGAGAGAGAGCCGTCAAGTTCAGGAAACACCCATGAATACCAGCAATTGGAATCTGTTTTCTTCGATATCCGGCTTATGGCGAGATACCGTGATGGACACCATCAACGAAGAATACGAACGGCGTACAACATCTCCACGATTGTGCCAAGGGAGCTCAGAGTCTAAGAAATACGAGAAGGCGTCTCACCACGGAGACTTTGGAGCTGATACGCCAACGTGGATGCGAACGAGCCACAGGCAACTACCGACTGACGCCCGAGCTTGCGAAGCGATGCAGAGAAGCGATAAAAGAAAACCTCAAGGAGAGAAGAGTAGCAGTGATGGTTGACGCCGCGGAGGCTGGAGGAAGTATACGTAACGCCGCCGAAGCTTCGTCAACTTCAAGACAAAGATGACCGCACTTCGTCGTCCTGACGGAACCATAACTGCTTCCCGAAGATCATTGGAGAAGATCATCCACGACTTTTACTCGGATATCTTTGCGAGCCACGTCCACCTTCCACCATGCCATCTCAAGGAGAACGAGTATGTCGCACCGTCTGTTCTTCCTTCCGAGATTTGTCATGCTACCATGTCGATGAAGAACCGTACAGCACCCGGTCCCGACAGGATTACGCCAGAACATCTGAAGAATCTTTCGCCAGTTCTCATCAAGACTTTGGCAAGGCTCTTCACCCGGTATCTGACGGAAGGCAAGGTTCCCAGACAATGGAAGACCAGCAAAACCGTGTTGCTGTACAAGAAGATAGATCCCTGCGACATCAACAATTATCGCCCTATCTGCTTGTTGTCTGTAATCTACAAACTCTTTACTCGAGTTATTCTCAACAGGATCGGAAGAGAGTTGGACGAAGGATAACCATGCGAGCAAGCTGGGTTTCGAAGGGATTCAGCACGATCGACGACATACACACGGTGTCAAGGCTCATTGAAGTGTCACAAGAGTATAAGATGCCGCTCTGTCTCGCCTTCATCGATTTGAAGAAGGCCTTTGACTCGGTTGAGACTAAAGCCGTCATCGATGCCTTGAGCAGTCAAGGTATTCCGACTCATTACATCAAGATCGTGAGCTGTATAACGACTTCACAACCACCATAACACCATTCTACAAGGACATCATCATCGACGTGAAGAGAGGTGTGCGACAAGGCGGTACTATATCGCCGAAACTATTCGGTACCGCTCTGGAGAACGTCATGCGTAAGTTGGAATGGGACAACATGGGAATGAAAGTCGACAGCCGGCAGCTACACCACCTTCGCTTTGCTGATGACATCGTATTGGTAACACCAAGCATCACGCAGGCAGAACAGATGCTGGCCCAGTTTGACGAAATGTGTGGAAAGATCGGTCTACGGCTGAATCTAACGAAGACGATGTTCATGAGGAACGGAAGAGTGCCCGATGCTCCTTTCATGCTCAACGGGACGAACATCACCGAATGCTCAAGCTACACCTACCTGGGTAGTGAACTCAATATGATAAACGATCTAGCTCCGGAACTGAGCAGGAGGAAACGTGCAGCATGGGGAGCACATAAGACAATTGAGAACGTAGTGAAGAAGACCAAGAACATCCGGCTCCGCGCCCACCTTTTTAGCTCGAAGGTTCTTCCTGCTTTGACGTACGCTTCAGAGACATGGACACTGAGAAAGCAGGATGAACATGCGGTTAGCGTCATCGAACGAGCTGTTGAGAGAGTGATGCTAGGAGTGAATCGACTCACGCAAGTGAGGGAAGGATTACGAAAATCTACCCTACGTCAACGATCGAAGATCAGGGACGCTGCTGCGTACGCCAAGCAGAACAAGACAAGATGGGCCGGGCACATAATGCGTTTCGACGACAACCGGTGGACGAGAGCTGTAACAGATTGGATACCACTGGACGTCAAATGCGAACGAGGAAGACCGCCGACGCGATGGTCAGATATGTTCACGAAGTCCTCTAATGAAGTCCTTCAGAGCGTTCTACGTGTTCCTGGTGCGAAACGTAAACACTGGTCAACAATCGCCCGAGACAGGGACGAATGGAGGCATCACTGATACCCGCTCGTGCAACACGATGATCAATGGGTATACAGGTGATACAGGTTGGACGGTTTATGGACGAACTCTCGGAGGACAATTGCGGCTTTTCATAGATTAGTGGCGGTGCAGTGGCCGCATTCTCGCGGATTTTCCAACACGCAGAATTTTCGAGAACCTCACAGTCCTTTTTAAAGGATCGCACAGAACACAGGTACCTTCCGCTGAGAGAAAGTACCCCAAACTCAGGTAATTAAACCATCGATGACGCCTCTGCCATATACAGTCTTACCTTTGCACGGCGTACGCCCGAAACTGCGTAAAAAAAGTCAGAGCGCTTATGGATTTATGACCAGTGCTCGCTGAAAGAATTTATTTGACGAGCGCCCACAGAAAACTCTATATTGCTTTCCGTTGGCAGAACATGCGACAGTGAAGAAAGTACCGCCCGCTGAAGGTTTGGCCACGCCACAAAATTCTGCTGACTGTCTGCAAAAAAGCGCGAGTTTGCGGACCGCCTGCCCCGGCTATTATCTGAGCGAGCCCCAAAGGCGAAAATCGTATCCAGCTGATTTCTCATCCGGTCCATCCGTTTCAAGAACACGTCTGCCCATCTTTTTGGAGGTCTGCCTCGAGGAGTTTTGCTTCGCAAAGAATCCACTTTGATTTCTCAGTATCCATCTGTCGTCTGTTCTTCTCATGATATGACCGGTCCATCGATACTTCGCTTTCGCAACGTATTCCGCTGGTTTACGAAGACGAGAACATTTTTTCGTATCCGTCTGCGAAGTCCGACAAGATGTTTGTGTCGGATCATCTTCAGAGGACTGCGCTCAAGCGCTCTGTGGGTGGTCCTTAAAGCTTTCGACGTGACTACGGCGTCAGCTCAAGTCTCAGCTGCGTAATAAAGCGTCGGGAGAACGGTTGAGTCGAACAGGTGGGCACGAAGCTGCAGATCCCTTGCTGGTCAGCTGGTCCGTGGCTTACTTCAGAGACCTCAAGGCGGCCCAGGTTGTTTTTCTTCTCCTGTTAAGGGCATTGGGTCGGCAGAATGAGACCCGTGAACAAGGTCACAGGGTAGGAGCCCCATAATGGAACCTATGGGCAAAAGTTGGACCTTTCTCTGCCACTTCTAACCCCGAAATTTCGAAGCGAAAGCAGCGCTCATCTCCTGTTCTCTCCGAATCCGCCCACCCCATGGACGAGTGACTTCCGCGGTCAGAGCGTCAGCCGCAATGCTATAAGCATGAGGTCCCGCAACGACTCTGCGTCTTCGCCATGACGGGCTTCGCGTTGACTCGTCCATGGGGTGGGCGGGTCCGGAGAGGACAAGAGATGAGCGCTGCTTTTGCTGTGAAATTTCGGGGATTAGAAGTGGCAGAGAAAGATCGAACCTTGGCCCATAGGTTCCATTATGGGGGCTCCTACCTTGTTTGTGACCTTGTTTTGCCACGGTCTCATTCTGCCGACCTACTGCCTTTAAGTTCTTCTCTTGAGTCATTCTCCATATTCATCAATATGGGTGCCTTCCAACTCCATTTCTGCATCCTCGCATATGGCGTTCTTCATAAATTAAGTCTTTCTCCGACTTCGCACTCCAGTCTTCTTCTCTACTTCATTTAATTCCTTCAGCATCGTTTCTGCTTCAGTGATACTGCTTGAAAAGAGAATGACGTCGTCCGCAAAACGAACAAAATTTTCCACTAACTAGTACGCCTCTCTCATCGCAGACCACTGACTTCATCATCCACTGCAAGGTCACGAAACAGCTTCACCCAGATGTGTCACCCTGTCCGACCAACTACCCAATTGATGGTTGGGGGCATAGTTGCATTGTCGTTGTACAGTCCTTGTAACAGTCGATTAACGTCCTCACGTAAGCTGGGTCCACTTCTTGATCGACTAGCGCTGACAGGATGGCTGTCAAAGGCTATCAAAGGCTTTCTCGTAGTCGACGAAAGTTGAGTAGAGAGGCAGTCGGTACTTTCGACAAACTTCTATGACCCTCGAAACCGTCTGGATGTGGTTCATGCAGCTAACAAGGGAAGGAAGGTGGGTCGAAGTGGCCTTTCAGAATGAGGTGGGTGTCATCTTGTAGGGCTTCGAACGCTGATTTCAAATCTGCCTTCCTTATCTGCGGCGCGTTTTTGGGCGAGGAGTTATGAGGGTTTTTAGGGGGGCGGAAGTCGATACAAGTACAATCAAGGACAGCACGTCACTGTGTGCCGCCTGGTGTAGCGGTTAGTATGGTTGTCTTGGTGGCAGAGGCTCCCAGTTCGAATCTCCCGTTGTGGTTTTGGTTTTGCTTGCCTACAAAAAATTTGTATGGGCGGGCAGCGTCTATACACCACCCTGTTTTCTTTCATCAGAATCTCGAGGCAAGCTACTTTCTCTCTCTCTCTCTCTGATCTTTGCAAGTGACTTGAAGGGGAGGTAGAAATGTCAAAAGAATCAATTTGTCACGTGACACTCCGATGAACGTAAGAGGTCACAATGTTCTCAACATATTCGGCAATGTTCAGCTTATTCCTGGTACGCCAGCGGCTACCTTGATGCACATCCGGGAGATTTTGAAACTCCTGCACAGTACTGCTTCCCTTCCAATTTTGATAGGAGACTGTGACCATTCGGATTGTTCAGAGGTAGTCTTCATTCGTTGGTCTCATTGTGAAAAAATGCCTATGTTTTGCACATTTTGTCCTCTCTTTTCATCAATGCACATAGACCTTTAAAAACGTAGAGTAATAAAACTTCTTAGAGGTTTGCAGTGAAAAGAAAGAAGAGGTGACGTACAGACAATACGCGTGCTCATACAAATTTTTTGTAGACCAGCAAAAGAAAGACCACAGCAGGAGATTCGTACCTGAGAGTCTCTGTTTGCAAGACCACCACACTAACCACTACACCAGACGGCACACATGGGTGCGCTGTCCTTGATTCCACCTGTATCGACTTCCGCCCCCCTAAAAACCCTCATAACTCTTCGCCCAAAAACGCGCCGCAGATAAGGAAGGCAGATTTGAAATCAGCATTCGAAGCCCTACAAGATGATTCCCATTTCATTCTGAAAGGCCACTTCGACCCACCTTCCTTCCCTTGTAAGTCCTTTACAATATCCAGCCTATTCTTAGGGTTGGGCTCCATCCAGTGTCTTGGATATGGGCGAGGATAATATTCGTGGAAAGCTTGTACAGCATACTCAGCAGGCATGTTAAACGGCAGTTACGAGGATCCTCCCGTTCATCCTTTTTAAACAAAAGAACGGTTCTTGATGTTCTCTACTGGTCCGGAATCCTTTCCTTTTGAAGGTGAGATGTTAGATACGATATACGGATATCTAGTGTACATGTTGTCCTCGGCTCGCAGAAATCCGACGAAAAAATGGGTCCGAATCGGGGTACGCACTTGGGCGGGTAGAATCCGTGGTGATATTTCCCCATTGAGAACAACTGGCATCAGCACGGTTGTTGAGCGGAATATTGGAGAAGTTGTTCGCAACAGATTTTATTATGTATCGGGAAGAGGTAGAAGTCCCGTCTTTATTCAGTGGTGCAGCCAGCGGTACATGATATTCGCAGAGGTCACTTTGGCAGTTCTTGAGACTTCATCTTCCTTCGGCTGGTTCCAGTAATTTGGCTTGCTTGTTCCTGAGATCCTCATGCAAGGCTGTTCTGCAACAGGCGTTGGCTACCAGTCGCTCGAGATGGGTTGCATTCGGATCCTGCCTCAAAAATCTTCTTCTTTCGAGCAATTCCTTGGTGGTCTTCGAGATACGTTCCAAGTACTTCTCAGAAGTCACTCAGGCGCACTTTCCGCAAGCTCGCAATCCTTTCAGAAGCAGTTGTGGTCGTACGTTGGGTCCTCCTTGATGAGCCAGTCACAGCCTGATATGAGCTCCAGCCTATTGCCATCAATAACGACTTGCTTCCTTCTTGTTGCGCAGTGACTGACCTTCTCCAGCTTTTGGTCTGAATCGTACCTCCGCTCGAAAGAGGCACTGATCGGAGCCACTGCAGAAGGATGGAACTATACGGGTGCTATACTCCTCGGCTATACTCTTCGCGAGAATGCAATACCTGCCTACATATGAAGTTCCTTGCCATCCCGTTCCTCCTAAACTTGCGACATCGTGCGCTATAAAGGAACGCGGATGCCGATGCGTGGACGTGCGGTGCCATCGTACGCGGGAAATACGGCGGCATCTGCTTCGTTCATTCATCATCGTGCCGTCATTTCTGCTGGCGCTAGATGGGCGTCCATCCCTGAACGCCGCAGCCTCTATTGAAGGCACATGCACTTTTCTTTTGTCCCGAAAGCCGCTTGCTGAATCTAAGAGTTATTACAAAAGCACAGCGTTTGAATACTAACGGCAAGATTGATGCAAGAGCTCGGGAGACATGCGAAGTGGTGTTACTTATAAGAAGAATGCTGGGACGCAGATCATTTCCACCCAATTATGGAATGAACCGTGCGCCTTCGACTCTGAGTCACCATGCAGATATTTCCTGATATTTGGCTGCAGTGAGCTATGTACAGTACCAAGGGCAGCTAGGTCGTAGACTACCACATCACTTGGACAGACTTCTTTCCTAAGTGATGTGACCGCTTTATTATTCAAGCCCAAACAGCATGAATGTGGGGTTGAATGATGACCACAAACATACCATATCCCAGGTTCGCATTCCTACCGAAATTTGCAGGGAAGCGGTGACCTCAAGTCTATGAATTGATGGGTAGATTCAAACTTCGTTTCAGTGGACGTGCGCTCAAACTCCTGTAAGTTTAGCAAGACATTGATGAAGGGCATGCTTTATGTGCAGGTGTGTAGTACAGCTCATTCTGATTAACCAGAGCTCTCCATCCTTTGCAATTACGTGAGATAAAGGCGTCTTGGGAAATATACTGCCTAGAGAGCTATACCCATATCCGTCGAATCACACGTTGGCGCGTTTCTGAGCAAGAAAAAGTCCTTTACGACAGTTCTGTGAATGGAGGCGATAGTGGGTGACGAGTTCTATAAGAGAAAGCTTTACAGCTCAGCTTTACAAGTATAGAAAGTGCTCTCTATGCCTGTCGTTTTCTCTAGCGCTGGGACCACTATCATTCTGAAACGTGGAACATACCTTTTCGCCCTTGTCGGAACTCTCCATATCCAAAGAACGTTAGTATCGTGACTCTTCAAGTATGCGACTGACGATATAGGCGCTTACGAGTTACAATGAACTACACCACTCTATCCAGATGTTTTGCACTGTCAATAGTTTTAGCTTGATAACACATCGGCGAAAACTCTGACTTACTAGTAGGTTTCATTGCCCAGGAATGAGAGCTGTTCTTGGTTTGATTTCGAGCTGTAATAGACTTATTGTTTACCGTTTCCATTGGATTGAACTATTCAAAATGGGTAGGGGACTACAGTCGCCTAGAAGAGGGCATTAGTTCGCCAAAAGGGAGGTCCCGCGCGGACATTCGCAACAAACCACTCGCCTTCACCATTACTGCCTCGTGCTAGTTGTCCGCGTGGTTGGAGACTATCAGCGACCTAATGTTCTCCACCCTATTTTGTCGATAGACTCCATTCCGGACAGGCAACTGGTACAAATCCGTAATCTCTGTAGTTTGCTGAGTTCGTGATCTGTTGCAGATGTCCGCGCGAGACCAAAGCTTTCGGCGGCATGTAGTCCTCTTCCTATTTTAGATACGCTGAAGGCAACCAGTTGCTGTAGAGTAAACCATCAACTAACAGTATGTGAGCAAGACTAAATGCGTTATGGTACCGTTATTTGATTTCCTGTCCTACTTCTTCAATATTGGACTTCTACGCTTTGCCATAGGAAATAAATAAATAAATAAATAGGTAAATGAATAAATAAATAAATAAATAGTAATATAATTATTCTTCGTTTAATTTCGTTGTGCAGGTTAGACTTCAAGGGAAATGAAGATGTACATTCACACCTAAACATCAAAAAGAAAGAAGCAGCTAAGTTTGCTCGGAAAACGAAGTTTGATGCATCCTCTAACCATTTTGCTTGATTAGAAATCGCAATTTTTCAAGGTGATCAAGAATTCTGCAGAAAATTCATACGCAGTATAAATGTCCCCAGTTGTGGCGAGTTTATGCACGCGAACTCTAGCAATTTCTAGGAGCAAATAAAATAACCAACTAAATGCATTAAATCAAAGCTCGTTGTATATAAATCTTCCATAGAGCAGATGTTGTCGTATCAAAACGTCGAGAATAGAGGAAAATTACAAAAGTGAGAAGAAAAATGGCTGAAAAAATGCAGTTTTGATTTTAAGAAAAATACGATTGATAGTGAAGCGATTCAAAACATGAACTGGCAACTGATGCACGAAAAATTCCATGACGCATAAAAATTCAGCAAGATGTGTTTCGTCAAGATGTCACAAGTCTCTCCATGTACTGACACGTCTGGAAGCAAAAATAAGTCTAAAATCTTGTTGTACAGGCATTTTTCTGGTTGCACATGTTCTAAGAATGTGCTAGAAGATCGACTGATGGAGGTCAAAGCGTTTGCCTGTTGTTGTTTATCTGGTACTTAGTTGAGGTCTTATGCTGAAAATCACTATGGAAACTAACGCCTTCCCTTATTGGAATAAAGAAATAAACTGCTGCTCTAAAAGATGTCCTTTGTTTGTAGGAATAGATTATTTAAGTTATTCATACTGTGAAGGCCACTTTTCTGAAACAAAACTTCCAGCTATTTAAAGGTTCACTGATAACTCCAATGATCCTGAGTAATTCAAACATTTGGTAAGATTTAATGACCTTAAACAGGTGAAGTTCCTTACAGCTCAGTTGATCCTTGTGTTTTCATAGCTTGTTAAATGTTTGTGCATTAAAAATCCTGCGAAAAAATATTTCCTTTTTCGCTTGAAGGCAATGAGAATGCAAATCTACAGGGCGTCCCCAAAAAATGTGTCTGCTGTTTGATTGTCAATAACTCTCTAGTCACGAAGTCTAGGAACTTTAGGCACCATTTTTCAGAGCTGGGTTTACTTCAAATTTACGGTTGGGAGCGGATCACTTATCGCTCTTCGTTACTGTAGGATTTCTGTAGGAACGTTCGGCCGTTTCAAGTAATTTAAAAAAATTTAAAAACTTTGTGGTAGGGTAATCTTTAGTTCCATGGATGAAGTTATATACAGGGCTTTTGTATAAGATTGTGAAGCCTTCTGAACGATGTAACCACATTTTTCAAAAACATCGTAACAACTGCTGCCACTGCTCAAATGGCTTAGCCTTTGGTTATGACGTAACTAAAAAATTCCGTATTTAGAGTTAGCAACTCTAATAGCTTAGTATTTTTCGGCCGTTTATGTTTCTGGGAGTATGGCAATCCGTGTCTTCGCTCTTCAAAGTTCCTACCGTAATTATGCTGTAATGAAGAGTAATGGTGATTCGCCCTATACCGTAAATCCAAATTGAAGCCAGCTCTACGAAAATGTACCTAAAGCTTCTTCAGAGACTTCACGCCAGAAGAGTTATCAACAACCAAATAGTAGGCACATTTTGGGACCATTGTATCTACCACTAGCATTTGCACATGTATGCTAGAAAGTTATGAACTATGCGAGAAATGGAGCTAAAAGTAACTTGGGACAAGAAAAAAAATTAGCGAGTTTCCATCAAAACAATTTCTAACGCTCTTACATGGAGCACCAACCAACGGAATCGCAGTTCAAAAGTCCTAAACGCTGAAAATGTAATTCTTAATGTTTAACTTCAATCTTTTATCTAGCTTTGATGATTCGTCTGATTGAACTACGGAGGAACGTGAGCAAAAGTATTGTGCATCCCCTAAAATTGTTCCCATATGAACGTGGCTGCCTTTCGATCGTTCTGACACGTTGCTCCAGCAAATTTGAGTAGCTTATTAGAAGTTGACATGTTAAAATGATCGAAAGACAGCCACGTTGATGGTTCATATGGGAACAATTCTAGGGAATGCTTTATATACTCTCTTCCAAAGCTACATTGTTGTGTAGGTGTTGATCGAAAGAGTGCCGCCTATTCTTTTCGTCGTCCACTGCGTTCAACAAAGCCTAATTACAAAGGGTCCAGCACCTTCGTCGTGTCATGTACACAACCAAATCTGAGGGCTGTCTGAGGTCTGCTTACTCAATTTAGCTGATACGATTCCAGCTCGAAGATGAGAATCATTTGGTCCCAGGATTTTAGTTTTTCTTGGTGTAAAGTTCGATTCTAACAGATGTTGTGCACAATCATCGCATGATTGTTTACAATTTTCCCGCGTATTTATCTTACAAATTGTCGAGCCATGTTTTTATTGTGCTTTCGAGTTTGTGTATCCCAAGTGAGGTTCGCAACAGCTTCCTTTATGACCAAGGCTGTAAAAACTAATTGCGTTCTTTCATTCCCGACGCGTTCTTCAATTAGAGACGAAAGGCTAAACGCTTTAGCCGGAAGTACTCATATCTTTACGTCTATGTTTCACTCTAAGGATTGATTATAAGAAGCTGCTGGAATTATATTGTGTTTAACCATACAGCATCTAGGGTACGATATTGTTCAAGCTCTACAGCCAAGCCTCACTCATTCGTCGCCAGAGAGAAATTTATGCTTCTTTTTGGGAACCACGCTCAAAAAACATCAGAAGGAAAATGCACAATGTGAAGAAATTCGTACTTGAAGCTTGTTCTGAGCTTCTAATTCGCTTTGCACATTTATGTGTGTAGGTCAGAAACGATCTTACTTGGTTCTGCTGCCCCAATTCAATGTTCCGATTGCCTGAGTTTGATTGTTTTGCTGTGCACATCTTCAGCACCCAGAAAAAAACGTTGAGAGATGGGTTCCACTATTCCTGATAAATTTGTCCCTATTCCGAATTTCTGGAATGATATCCACGAAAGTCCCTGCGAAATGGGCTTTACGTGCGAATAAAATGGACTTAGTCCATGCGGTGCGATAAGATATTGCATTCGCGAATCCATTCATTCCATACAAAAATCTTCAGCAGACCTTTCTCCAACTTGTCTCAACCTGTTTATTCACTCTTGCAAACTCATTTCTACCAAGTGGTTGGTATCTAACTAGGGCTGACCTAACATTGCGATGATAGTCACATGATTCTATGCTTTCACACTTCATTATACATCAAAAAATGCCATTTGTTATCAATCTATGCATCGAAAACATCCAAGAATAGAATTCACATAATATCCGGGCCTTTGCTTTTCAAGACTTCTATGGATTTGCTTTAAGACAAATTCGTATGTAGAGCTTTCTGGGGAAAGCAAACTTTGGCTAGACTTGCACTGCAATCTGTGAAGCAAAATGCTTGTCTCGTAGGAAACCTTGCCCTATAACCCAAAAGGTTCTTCAAATCGGAAAACTACGGGTCGCAAAGGATGAATTCGCAAATGTTCTACTTTAGCTCTTCTTTGTCTTTCAGTATTAATGTTTATATCTCTAAGTAGTTGAATGTATGGACTATTGACGGTAAGAAATTTTTCACAGAATTTTTTTTGCTAGCTAGCGGCACTTCAGTAATTCTTGCGACAAAATCGAAATTCGTTCATAAAGGCCGTCATTGAGGTTCGGTTTTGCGAGATTAGTCAAAAGATAGCTTCTGAGTAATTATGTTGAAACGCAAATCTTTTTTATCTTTGAATACAAATGAATACAATAGAATAAATTTAGTTTTGGTTGATGATTTAAAAAGTTAACAAACTTCACTTGATTTACATAGGAATTCTCGCATCGACATGACATTTGGAAACATTTGAGTTTGTTGGCGAATACTTTGGTGATTTACCTTTTTTAATTACTTTTATAGCATTTGGAAAGAAACACTCATTTCAGACTTCATAAAAGACATAAAACTTTTTCCACTTACTTGTTACCTTAAAATAGACTAAGGAACACACTCTCAAAATACCGCGAACGAATAAAATGGGGTTTGAAAGTCCATTTTCCTCCATTATGGACTTTCGTGGATATCATTCCTGCTTTATCCCATTCCGAGCTTGTTCAGGATTTATCATTTTGGAAATGTTATGGCGTGTCAAGAAGTTTGATCATTTCCACTCTTCATTCCACTGAGACAGTGGGTTTTATTAATTGCCCTTGATTTTCAGTAAATAATTGTGTACATATCTATAAGTGAAATTTAAGACTTTTACAAAAATCTAATAGACAGAGTTTTGAGAGAACAGGAACCTCCTACTTGTAACTCCCAAAATTGTACTGCAAAAAATGTACCAAACAATTGAGTTACGTTGCTGTAGTTACCAATTTTAGTCGCTAAATGGAAGTTTCAAGTTTTTTTTTGATATTCTATATATATACCAAAGTAGAGGCCGTCC